TATTCACAGAAACGTTAGCGACGCTTTCCATGATTTTAATTAGGCCGACTTAATACCCTGGAACCTCTCTTGCCTTGTCATACTCATGGAGGAGATTATTTTTATGTTTCAAGCACAAAGTGTATTTCATTATACTCTCAGTTTATCACACCGTAAAACAAATATCATGAAGTTATAGTTGAGATATTTATAACAGTTGAATCCGGCGATAGAGACCAACCAACCTTCAGTGCTACAATACTAGAATCCTGCGTATTTTCATGGCATAAAAGATGCTTGTATCATGATGCAGCAGTGTTTATGCTACACCAGACAATTCTTAAAACGTTTCACGTAAATCTCCTTAACTGTGTTATCTGCTTCCAACATCACTTTAATATATAGTGCTGCATTCAGTGTTTTGAACTCTTCTGGCGGATGAAGTGTTGAGTATGTTTCCTTAAACCTGCTGCTCCTATTCACCTAGTAGTGTGTAGGTACCTATGTGGAAGCTCACTGATGTGAGTCGCAGTGCCAGAAATGCTCTGCATAACCAGGGGCTCTCTGAACACCTGGAGTTACCTGGAGTTTACCTGGAGAGAGTTCCGGGGGTCAACGCCCCCGCGGCCCGGTCTGTGACCAGTCCTCCTGGTGGATCAGCGCCTGATCAACCAGGCTGTTGCTGCTGGCTGCACGCAAACCAACGTACGAGCCACAGCCCGGCTGATCAGGAACTGACTTTAGGTGCTTGTCCAGTGCCAGCTTGAAGACTCCCGGGGTTGTTGGAAATTTCCCCTTTATGTGTGCTGGGGAGGCAGTTGAACAGTCTCGGGCCCCTGCACTTATTGTATGGTCTCTTAACGTGCTAGTGACACCCTGCTTTTCATTGGGGGGATGTTGCATGTCTGCCAAGTCTTTTGCTTTCGTAGGAGTGTTTTTCTTGTGCAAGTTCGGTACTAGCCCCTTAGGAATTTCAGGTGAATATAATATGTATCTCTCCCTCCTGCGTTCCAGGGAATACAGGTTTAGGAACCTCAGTAATTGAGGTTTTTTTATCTCCGTTAGCGCACCGTGAAATTTTCTCTGTACATTTTCTAGGTCGGCAATTTCACCTGCTTTAAAGGTGCTGTTAGTGTGCAGCAATATTCCAGCCTAGATAGAACAAGTGACCTGAAGAGTGTCATCATGGGCTTGGCCTCCCTAGTTTTGAAGGTTCTCATTATCCATCCTGTCATTTTTCTAGCAGATGCGATTGATACAATGTTATGGTCCTTGAAGGTGAGATCCTCCGACATGATCACTCCCAGGTCTTTGACGTTGGTGTTTCGCTCTATTTTGTGGCCAGAATTTGTTTTGTACTCTGATGAAGATTTAATTTCCTCGTGTTTACCATATCTGAGTAATTGAAATTTCTCATCGTTGAACTTCATATTGTTTTCTGCAGCACACTGTCAGTGTTATAAAACAGGTTGTATCATGTATTTGCAGATTTAAAGATTATCATCTCATTATTATTATCATAATTATTGTTGTTGTTTTTGTTGTTATTATTATTATTATTATTATTATTATTATTATTATTATTATTATTATTATTGTTATTATTATTGAATCGGTCGGCGTTGAGCCCCTGGTAAGTGAGTTGTTAAAGTCCAGGCCAGTACATAAGTCACTCAACCAGCTGGGTTCAAGCCCCACTTGCTCCTTAGTTTGTTTGCAATCTTGTTATTACGGCTCCTTGAGTCATGATGGCGGCTTTGAGAGGACATGAGCTAGAGTTCACCACAGCCATGCTGGCGGGAAATTCATCTGTTAAATTTGCATTTGTTGCCAGGACGAGCCCTTGGTTCATCCGCAGGTCTGTAGAGATGCCTAAACCAAATGCAATAGAGAATGGAAGAAGTTTAGGAGATATAGGACCCAGGAGAATAATGGAAAGTAGTCGAAGAGCCGAAATGAATATGCACAAGTAAGAAAGAAGGCCCAGCGACACAAAAAAAAAATGACAGCAGTGAAAGCCAAGCCAGACGCATCAGGAGGAAAACATCACTCAATGACCAGGTAATCAGGATGAAGAAGGAAGGAGGGGAGCTCACAAGAAATGACCAAGAAATATGTGAGGAACTCATCATGAGATTTAAAGAAATGTTCACAGTGAAGACAGAAAGTACTCCGGAAACACAGAGTGGTGGGGTACACCATCAAGTGCTGGACACAATACATACAACCGAGGGGGAGGTGAAGAGGCTGCTCAGTGAACTAGATTCCTCAACGGCGATGGGGCCGGATAACATCTCCCTATGGGTCCTGAGAGAGGGAACAGAGGCCCTTAGTGCCACTAACAACAATCTTCAACACATCTATCGAAACAGGGCGACTACCTAAGGTATGGAAGACAGCATATGTAGTCCAGATTTAAAAAAAAGGAGACAGACGTGCAGAATTAAACTACGGATCAGTGTCACTGACATGTATAGTATGCATAGTCATGGAGAAGATTATCAGGAGAAGAATGGTGGAGCACCTAGAAAGGGATGAAATTATCTGCGACAACCAGCACAGATTCAGGGACAAGAAATGCTGTGTCACAAATTTCCTGGAGTCACATGACAGGCTGACAGCAGTAAGACAGACAGGTGGATAGATTGTATTTTCCAGGACTGTAAAAGGCTTTTGATACAGTTCCACACAAGAGAATAGTGCGAAAGCAAGAGGACCAGGCAGGTATAACAGGGAAGGCACTGCAATTAATCAGAGAATAACTGACAAGATGGCAACAGCAAGTCATGGTACGTGGCAAGGAGTCAGAGTGTTCGCCTGTGACGAGCTGGGTTCCACAGAGGTCAGTCCTAGGACTGGTGCTGTTTCTGGTAAATGTGAATGACATGATGGAAGGAATGGACTCAGTAGTGTCCATGTTTACAGATGATGTGAAGTTGATGAGAAGAATCAATTGAACGAGGACCAGGCAGAACTGCAGAGGAATCTGGACAGGCGGCAGGCCTGGTCCAGATTGGGGAAGAGCAAAGAAGACCGCAGACGGAGTACAGTCTAGGAGGCCAGAGACCACAAACCTCACTCAAGGAAAAGGATCTTGGGGCGATTATAACACCGGGCACATCTCCTGAGGCGCACATCAACCAAATAACTGCTGCAGCATATGGGCGCCTAGAAAACATAAAAATAGCATTTCGACATCTCAATAAGGAATCGTTCAGGACCCTGTACACTGTGTACGTTAGGCCCATATTGGAATATGCAACAACAGTTTGGAACCCACACCTAGCGAAGCAAGCAAAGAAACTAGAGAAAGAGCAAAGATTTGCAGTAAGACTAGTCCCGGAGCTAAAGGGTATGTCCTACGAGGAGTGGTTAAGGGAAATCGACCTGACGACACTGGAGGAAGGAAAGATGTGGGGGATATGGTAATGACATAAAATACTGAGAGGAATCGACAAGGTGGACAGAGACAGGATGTTCCAGAGATGGGTCACAGCATCAAGGGAAGTTGAAGACACAGAAGAATCACAGGGAAGTTAGGAAGTATTTCTTCAGTTACAGAGTTGTAGGGAAGTGGAATAATCTGGGAAGTGATGTAGTTGAGGCATGAAGTATGATAAAGCTCATGATATGATATAGATCATGGAGTAGGAAGGGTGACCTAGCAGCGACCAGTGAAGAGGGGGCCAGGAGCTGTGACTCGACCCCTGCAACCACAACTAGGTGACAACTAGGTAAGTATACACACACACACACACACACACATGCGGTCACTTTACCCCCGGCCCTCTTTCCCCTCCCCTCCCCCTTTTAATCCCTACCACAACACCCCTTTTTA